GGAAATATGCTCAGATATCACAAAGCTGTTTAGTCTAGAAACATTAAAAAAAACCCACTGATATTTACACTAACATAGCATCACAGATTAATTCTTCAAAATATAATGAAGTCGACAAGCTGTCCACATGTAGATTTTTCCTTCAGACAGAATCATTTATAACTGTGTTGGATAATTAAAATGGTGTGAAATCACTGATATCATTCCAATCACGAAAATATATATAGTCTGGTTATTATGAGATGAATATGACCCGAAAGAATTCTAGAACACAATTATGTCAAACTTTTTATGATAATGACATTTACAGTTGGCGGGAATGCACGATAAAATTGGCGAAGCTTGATTTTGCTCACACAATCAATTTTTGTGCACATAGAAAAATCAATCTTGAAAAGTTGGTGTTTCCGATTATCATTCGATTTTACGAAAGGAAATTATGCCATAATGGCACCAAAGTTTCAATTCATTTTTAAAATAAGTAAACTAATTACGATGAACAGAGATCAATCACCTACCAAACAATGAACGTGAGTTCGAATTCTGTGCATTCCAACGAAAATCACTTGCAAAACATCATTACGCCACCCAAAATTAAACTACTCTGAAATTTTCTTTGATACCTGTGATTCCCCGTTGCTATACAGGGGCCAGTTGCTCACTCTCTGTTGACAGGTGCCTCGACAGTGCTGAAAATTGACTACTGTATTCATCCTTGTGCCTAGCAGTGGAATCCAAGGTGCGCGTTCCCTCCCTTTTGGGATTTGTCAGCTGAATGCACATGCACTCCAGTGAATGGTGGTGTTCCTACTGAGACTCAAACCCCATCACCCATCCCTTCAAACATTAAAGCGTCATTCACTAGGTCACTGAATATTCAGGCAACCATAAAGGAACCCGTATTGCCAACATAGATCGATTGATTCAAATACAACATAACAAACGGAAGTTACAAGTACCACATCTTTGTGTCAACCCCACTTTTTCTAACGTGATTGTTCGTCATCTACACTGTGACGTTAATATAGAGTGTGTATGTTTACTATCTACTAGGTTTAGGCACACATAACGGTGACCGAGATCATTTGCATTTCCTGACATTGAGGTGGTATATGACTAATATGGTGACTGCTGTTCACAAAAGTGTCGATGAATAGGCGACTGGTGATGTGCATGTACATTTTCATCCAAAGAAAAGAATGTGAACATTATTTTACTTATAATAAATTAGTGTTATGTAATGGCGTCTTACATTCATCATAATTTAAGAGACGGTACACATGAACTTACCAATTTGACATAGTTATGTCTAAATAAGCAATTATCCACTATCATTTCCAAACTAATGAAGAAGTACTGGGTCACCTTAATAAAGCACGCTAGTATACTTCAAAGCCGTTCGCATATAATTTGTGATACGATACCTTTCTTCACTTCCGGTGGTATTCTATAAGGTGTTGGTTCCAGTACAATTTCATTTGTCTATAGCAAGCATCAATGAGATATATTTTTGCTACATGATACATGCTACATGTTTCTGCATACTATCAAATGATGGATATATCGAAGAAAAAACAAATTTTAATGTGAATACAGAGAGCATTACCGTTGAAATACTAAGTCTTTCAAAGGTTACCAACATAAACATACAATATCTAATTTCGGAAACAAGCCTAGAAAATTCAGAACAGAGCTGTTGAGGGAAATACTCATCATTAATGAATCCTTGTAATATCTATCGGTTAAGTATTTCATATATAGACCGTATGCTGGCCAGGTTTCATTAAACTTACCACAAGTATCTTCGTCTATATGACAAAATCGTTGTGCATTACTCAATAAGAAACAAAACTAGGTCAGTAAATTCTAAGTTTAAACTTACTTTTTCAGAAGATGTGAAGTTAAAACATTGTCGCCTTTTGATATGTTGTAGGACCGACTGTATGAGATATCCAAAGAGCATGAGACCAGCGGAATTTAATTTTCAGTCACGCCGGTAAACAATATACTATATGTAGCATTTTTCCTAACATAATACTCAACGTAAAAAAAATAACACGGAAAGATGTATTCACGTAGATATGAGGCGAATATATGTAACCCTTGGCATGTTAAATGAGGAGATTCGCTGATGAGGTGGCCCGAACAGCTCAGTGATAACGTATCTGACGCAGCACCCTGTGGTGTGAGTCCAAATCTTCGACAGGAAATCAGCTACGTCAAGGCTGGAGATATACCTTGTTGGTAAGAGCTAGGAAGCATGAAACCTAAATTCAGATCATCCTGGAGATTGTTTCCATTCAACTAACACTCTCACTGTTTCATGAACTAAGAATATCAAGGAAGTAAAATTGCTTTTTTCTCAAGAAAAATGTTTCGGACATTACTATACCAGTAAAACATAGGAGCAGTACATTGATTTCAACTTAGTAAATAAGTCAGTTGCCACCACTTTAAAAGTACGGTATTTCAATATACACCAAACATGTCTATAACACAAAATTGTATAACATGATTCAATTTTAAAAAACGCAAGGTAAAGTTCAAACATTTTCAGCATTGTATGACCTGCTTTTCCCTTAAGATGTTCGTCTTTATGTGATATTCTAACTCTAAACTCAATGAGAACAAGAATTACATACATAATTTACGAAAATACTAAGTGAACAGTGTCGACCAAAAATTCAAAGACATCTATCGCACTTACCTTCTAACAAGGTGACAGACAAAATCAACTTAGCAACATGTTCAGAGTTTACATAAAGATAGTATTCGAACTCAGTTCCAAGCTTACGTCAGAATTTCACTCAAGCTATTCAAGATAGCCACGCATTGATTCCATACACTTTGCTGGTAACTAGAAAATCTAAACTTCTTCATACATCTCAAACAGCGAGCAACTACAAAGACTACTTTCATTTTGCTCCAACATAATACTTTCTACCATATGAAACTCTTTCGGCCTCCATGTGTCTAACATCCCTGATAACGAAATCATCTCAGAGTTAAAGGCTTACAAAGCAACAATCTCCTTTACGTATGATTCTACGCTTTAAAAGCTCTCATAAATCCACTCAGTAAAAGTAGTTTTATGACTGAGTTAAATAGACGATGGTCTCTTATAACTTTCACCTTTAATGATCAGCACTACGCAAGTTTCCATATTCAAGAATATGTAGGTTACTACTCACAATTCACGGTTATATGTAAATTAATATCGCTAGTCAGACGTGACTCAGATTCCCATCTCAACTTCAATCATCAATGAGAGGAAAACTGTAAATGATGAATTGCATACGACAGAGAATCATTGCACAGTTAGTCAAACGTTGACACGTATTAGACAAAGAAATTCCTAACGAAGCTGATCAACACAAACTGCTTTTGTCGTTCAGACTACCATTTTTGATGATTCCAAGTTCGGTAGTCATCTGCATAGCTTTCAGATTTAAGACTTCAAACGAAGCTTGTACTTGCAGTGCAAGAGATCGCAAAGATTGATTCTACATAACCCGAAATACAAGTTGAGAGGAAGGAATAAAGAATAACCAGACACACTGGTGTATGATTTAACTCCTTACTATATCTTGATCCGAAGTGGAGAATGTCGTGCGCAAAGGAGCAATTCAAAGTCGGAATACATGCAAAATAACAAAATGTGATTAGGAGAAAGTGCTGATCATGATTGGCTTTGATTTTCTACTAACTCCTCAACTTTATTAGAAGTGTACATGCTGATATAGGTGAGAAATTGAAGTAACTCTAATGACTTCTTACACGACCACTGAATCCCTTTGACAATAAACCCCGGGTCTTTGTTTGCACTCAGAATTTCTTCTGACAGAGATAACTTACAATGGTAGTAAAAGAAAATGAATTATTGGTAGACCAGCAATAACCAAGTTTGAAGGTATGTTAAAGGAATTGGTAGGTAGATTTTATGAAAGAGAGATTACGACTCAAATGGGTGGAGGATTCAAAGTCAGGCATTCGAACTTAGTACAAATAGCTTCCGATTTACAGTTAACAGAGTTGATTGGTACTATAATTTATCGTCCCAATAAATAAGAAAAATCAAGCGAGTGGAAATAAAATAATTAATTTTGAAGCCTATTGTACATATTTCACTTTTATTCGCATAACATACATTGTTTCTCAGTATGATTCACCTGATATATATTATTAACTGTAATTTAGTTAAGAAAGTGATCTGTGACAGAAATATCTTCCTATTTTTTAACACGGTTATAACATTTTCCTCTTAGGAAGCACTTATGATAAACTTCATAAGATCAGCAGATGAATGAACCATTTTCCAGCACCAGTAATATCACTTTTGATTCGTTTTTAAGATGCATCGCATTCCAATCTGCATGAAATACATAGTATGACCAGATGATATCTATTCCAACTTAATGTACTTATAGTCTATCAGATTTATTTCAGAGAAGTGATTATCGACGTCATGCACGAGTCACTAGCAAAAACAGATTATCTGATAACTCTAAAGCCGTATTTTTAACACGACACGGTAATTCATCAGTTGAAAGGAAAACGAACATTTGAAAATAAGTATGCATTGTAACTATTACTGTGATATATACATATTCATCTGTCAAATAAGAGATTATGCAGAAAAATTGCAGACAAACTTCAGCACTCAAAGTAGTTTAACAATCAAACCGACAAGTTATCCCCTAAAAAAGAGAAATTAAAACCAGAGAAAAACTCAATATTACGATGTTTGATAAAACACCATCAGGTCACGATTATCAGAAGCAATCTCGAAATAAGACAAGTATATGAAGCATATGTATATGTAAGTAGGAAGCATAACACTAAGACTGAGTGATACCTTAAGAAAAGAGAAGTAGAAAATTTACACATCCTAAACAGTGGATAGAAAAAAGTAATGTGATTGGGAAAAGCATTGGAAACGAAAGAACTTGGGGCATTGCTTTGATTGTACTGAAAGAATAGTGGAGAATGTAGTATTCCTTTCACGTTGATTTATCTTTTTTGCATTTACGATTATGACTTCCTTTAGGTTTGATATGATGCCACTGGAGAGAAATAAGAAGAATGAGATAATATAACCAAAAGTGGTAATATGCAGACAAACAAAAAAGCAGAAATATCTTAAGCATGAAAACTGAGTTTTACTTTTGTGCCAAACAACGACAATTCTTCACCGCATTAAGAGATTTCCAATGAAAATGAGAAGGTATGGGTCGTATAAACCAACGCAATTATCTCATATGTCAATATAAAGACAAATACACTGACAAAATCTCCATATTCCTTAGTTTACCTAAACGATAACACTTCACGAAGGGTTTTCAAAATCAAGAAACAGTGATTACGGTTCCTGAGTAAAAAGCAAAAGTTAATTTTCTTCCTCTACTCGAACCACAACTGTAAGCAATAATCACATCACTTTTGGATGAACTTCGTGACTATACATCGTTTATTCTATTCGTAAGGCTTGCTGAACCACATCGCATTACTTAAGGTTGTGAAAAGTGACAGATTACCTTAAGTGGTGAAAAAATATCATGAAGGTAAGCATCACAAAAAAGTAAATTCATATCCTCGGTAGCTAAAAACCACCACTAATTTGCGCGAAAACTCGAAGAATCCCACCGCAGAGTACACCTGAGAATCAAGTTAAGTGAAGTGTGCAAACTGTAGATTCAATCCGTCCTAGTCAATTATGTAGTCTATAAAGAAGTAGAAGGAATACATAACGGTACTATGTATCGAATAGAAATCCACTTAGCACCTTTGGGCACATTAATACAGTAAACGGTGAACCACATCAATACCAATTGTGTGGGCGCTAATGGTACTAACTAGCCGCTGAAACTTCAGCAGATGGAGCTGGGTTCAAACCTGTTACCTAACGGTTGGAAATCGAGTACCAAGGCACACGAGCTACAGCTCCATAGAGGCTTTGTATGATAAGAAAATAATCTTACTATCTACATATTCTTATGTAATCAGTCTCAAAGCCTTATCTTCCAGTTACTGATTAAATCATGATTACAAATGAAAAACATTATTGAATGAAGGGCGTTATTATGGTCAAAAGTCAGTCAAATCAGTGGGGAAAAAGTACCAGACTTCTATTTTTGACAGTTCCATGCAAATTAAGTCTAACAGAACGACCACGGATCAAGCAGTGTTGAAATCGAACAGATACCCTGAGAAAAAGTGATCACAATAAATCTAAAGTAATTTAATGAATAAGCAATCGCGAAATTGTTTTGCCTACAAATGTTACGTATAGCATAGGATAAAACTTTCTTGAGATACGGAGAAAAAGTCAATATGATAGGGGTACTCAGAAACGTCACGACTGTAAACCCGAACCTGATTATCCTGCGCCTGTTCAGTATTTGTTAGGTGAACAGGATCTGATTTGGTCCAACTCAGGCCATTGCAAGTGCTAGCGTTCTGGCGCTGTGTGTTACTGGTACTGCAATCATTTGGGTTTGCCCGTTTCTTTTTTTCAGTCGGTCGAACTGTGTTCACAGACTGATTACCAGGATTTTGACATGTAGATTCCTGCATAGTACACGCCTGTTCCCTGCGTTTTCTATGCAGCTGCCAGAAAGGTCTTCGACGATCAAGGAAATCTTTGACGAACTGGGTTGTACGAGCTGTTTCACCCAAAAATGTTTGTACCATTCGTTCAACCTATATTAGATTTAAAAACCGAAAACAAGGAAGCATTTAGTTGCTATGAAAAATCGAGTACCAAAACAATGAACCACAGTTTTAGCGTGAGAGTCGATGCACATACGTACACAAAAAACCTTTACTTCATAAAATCAATGAAAATTACCTTTCAATAAACGCAGTTATAGTCAATGCTTGTGTGAAGGATACTAAAAATGAACATTTTATTTTGCGTTAGGAAAGGAATGTGGCATTTCATATATATATATATATATATATATATATATATATATATATATATATATATATATATATATATATATATATATATATATATATATATATATATATATATATATATATATATATATATATCTTTGACAGCTTATGTACTTCTGTATGAAAGTTGGTGATTTGCTAATGAATATACATGAGAAAAATAAGTGCTGAGTATGACGGACCAAAGAATCGATGTTTGCTGTTCGTCGAAACCCGTGGTTATCATGCTTCAGCCTTATTGTTTTCATTCTTTTTCCTTTTCTGTCATGTTGTTGCTTTATTATCTTACATGGCGAGTCTCTTGGTTTCGATGCACCACGGTTTCATTCTCATTGAATAATAAACGATTCACTAAGTGGATCTAAAACTTGCAGTTATTCTCACTTCACATAGTTTCACCTCAAAGAAGTTACTTATCGTCTCTATTTTGTGATGAATCATATGTATTTTGCTTCTGAGGTGTTAATTGCAAGACAGATGATTGCAACGTAGGATTAATCCTACTGATGTTTAGTTTCGCTACAATGTCCTTAAAAGTGACAGTAAAACCATGAGAATGAGCTGTCACTGTATTACTGCAGCGAGAAATTGGTCCCGTCTGTGATTAGTTTGCTTCCTGGAAACATAAAACAATTTGATCAGCAAAAACAACAATTAGAAAAAATCCTTTATGATGTAATTTCTACTAACAATGGTCAAAGTTATGATGTAGCACCAATGATATCTAGATTTGCCACTTTTACGATCCTAAGGGACTATAGCTCCTAACCACAATAAAGTTGGTTTCGACTGGAATTTCCGACAAAATCGAAAAGTGAAAGTGATTTTTAAAACAGCACGTCCAGTCGCGCTTAGCGCACAACGTAAAAATTTCTTGTTGAGTTCCAAAAGTAAGTCTCCAGTCAGTTAATATCAGCCTGGTGATACTGCATAAGGGTCAAAGTTGCCACAATTCACATCAACACACAAAGTAACAAAATGAAAGATAGAGATATTGGAGGAAATACAAGCAAAAGGTGTAGAAAGTCACAAGAGGAGAGCAAGAAGTTAAACGAATAAAGAAAAGTGATATGACGACCAAAATAAGAATAATGTGTAGATGCATCTGTTCCACTGCGATCGATTGTGAGCCCGGAGTCGCAAACCACTTATTTTTTTTGTCATATGGACGCCAACTCGGAAGCTTACACCACCTAACAAGATTCAGACCATCAGTAAGAGGCCCACGCACTAGCCATATGTTTTAGTCTGACTGACTGTGGCTCCTTCCCAGCATAAACCCACTTAGGTTAACAACATTATGCAGTGAGATAGTTGATGATTAAGCATACGTAACACGTCTTAGCTAGTTCGATGAAGGTTTGCAACCTCATCAGCCGACCCATTTCCCTCACTCAACTGACAATATTCAGATTCTTCTAAACGCTCTGAACAAACCTGGTTTTGAAATGTGTTTTGCATCTATCAAATGGAAGATAATTCTTCAGGACTGGTTTGCACTGGCTCATAGTTTATGTACCGAGAGTGAAGTGATGGAACATGTAGACTGAGTGGGGAGATTGCTTCAGTTAGAATGCGTTGGCTACAGACGAGATATCAGCTCGAATGAGGAAGGTCTGTTTAGAATTTGTCAAATTACACCACTTACAGTTGGAGTGAGATATCTGACCGACTATCAGAGGAGAAGTATCTCCTCTGCAGCACACTCTGTCATGTTATACAAGAAATGAATTGCCGTTAAAAATTAAAAAAAATGAATAAAAACAAATCACTGGACTTTGATGATGGATGTCATAATTCCACTCGAGATTGGCAGCGCCGAAAGGGGATATTAGACTTCCTTCAGGGACGCCACTTAACGGATGCAACTCACCTCAATTTTTGCTGTAGGCCTTAACAAGTCAACGGACGTCCATATACAGAGCATTCAGCAGAACCACGTCTCCACACAGCATCATTTTTAGTGTGCGACAGTTATAAGACCTATAGATGGAGTGAGTAGAATGTCGCCACAATGTCAGGAAATGCAAATGATCTCGGTCACCGTTATGTGTGCCTAAACCTAGTAGATAGTAAACATACACACTCTATATTAACGTCACAGTGTAGATGACGAACAATCACGTTAGAAAAAGTGGGGTTGACACAAAGATGTGGTACTTGTAACTTCCGTTTGTTATGTTGTATTTGAATCAATCGATCTATGTTGGCAATACGGGTTCCTTTATGGTTGCCTGAATATTCAGTGACCTAGTGAATGACGCTTTAATGTTTGAAGGGATGGGTGATGGGGTTTGAGTCTCAGTAGGAACACCACCATTCACTGGAGTGCATGTGCATTCAGCTGACGAGTCCCAAAAAGGAGGAAATGCACATCCTGGATTCCACTACTAGACACCACCGAGTAAATCATAAGATGTTGATCTAACCTATCAAGTCACTGAGTATTAATTTGAAAGTTGATGAGCGAGTAAACCATTTGGATGAGATATTGGAGAAGTTATAATACAATATCAGAAAATCTTTGTACAAACGATGGCATAGTACCAACAACACTTTTCTTTTTCTAGATCTTGAACAGACTACCACTCTATATCTACCTGTTTTTGTACAATATTGTTAACTAAGACCCAGAACAATGGAAGTTCAAGTATCAGAAAAAGACAGTATCAAATACTTTAGCTAAATGTCTTGATAATGAGCTCCATGAAATTAGGAGCGCATATCGACTTTTTCGGTTTCATAAGTCGTATTTCTAGTATAACCCTCCTAAGGTTTATAAATGTAAAGTATTTAGCTAAAAGATCAAATCTAATAAACGAAAGTACTTACTCAAAAAGGATAAAAACTGAAACACAAATAATTGTAACCACATGACTTATTTTGCAGATTGCACTTAATAAGTAATATAAGTCAGATCGTAATCTAGTAGTGCACTTACCTGTTGAGTAGTTAGAAAAACTACATATTCTGATTCACATGATGACTACAGTGCAGATTGTGAACGACACACTAATGAAGCTAATTATTAGATCAATAAACTTTCAAAATAATTTAAAAATCAATCAATATGAAAATTTAGAACAGAGATTCAAGGTAGCAACAGTTTTCTCTACAGCTTCCGATCATGAACATTTAAACAGTGATATTTCAATAAAAAATAAAGTTCTAACCACTAAGTTTACTACATAGTAAAACGAAGCACATGAGATTTAGTTTCCTACTTTATTGTATTTTTGAGGTAAATGGGGATTTTTAATTTAGAGGTAGTGTTCATCATGGACTGACATCAGTTGGGGAACCATTGAAAATCTGGGAGCACTGAACAGCTGTTTGGTCCTAATATGGGACTCCATAAGCAGTACGCGAATTGACAGATGTTGAAAATTGTGAACTACTGAAAACCGACCCAGTGACTGAATGGTAACGCGTTCGCCGTTCGATTCGTAACCGGGTCGTGGGTGCGTACTGCTGAGGAGTCCCATACTAGGACGAAACAGCTCTCCAGTGCTCCCAGATTTTCAATGGTTCCCCAGATGATGTCAGTCCATGGTGAATATTACTTCTACTTTATCGTTCCACTTCTTCATTCGTTACGATCCTAAGCAAAAATATCAACGAGATACCTCCTTTTCTAGGTTTTCACTTCAGCAGGATACGCTTCACACAATGTAAAGAACCGGCCACAACCTGCAGCTTCTTATGTTTATGCTTAGAAATACTCAAGAAATATATCTGTATTCGTTTTATGCAAGTGGACGTGATTTACTGGCACATCCTACTTGTACATATTGTTTCCCTCGAATTTTGCATCTGAATGACTTTTAAAATCGCCTTTGATCGACCACAAGGTAGGCAGGAATTTTTCTGGAAAACAACCTCAGTACATAAACCATTCTTTGTAAAGTATATCGTCTGAATAATAATGGCTTATGAAGCATTATTTCAGGGGAGAATGAAAGCAGTAGCAAAAATCAATATGCAACCTGATGAAATAAATAGGAAAGGAAATAAACTTCGGAGATTTGCATATCATCCATTTTTATATCCAAAATATAACAATCCAGTGAAAACAAAAGTCATAAAACATTTGACGATTACGATAAAACATCTTACTTCGTAAGGAGCATCTAGTGTAGCCAATAATTCAACAACCGTCGGGATATCGACCTTTTCACGCATCGGCATTGAACTAAGTCTTGACTGACACCATTGCGTTAGCCTTTTAAGTTCTTCTTCAACCGTCTGATCAGAATCGTTTTCTGAATTTGATACAACGGATGAGAATGTAGTTTCAGACGAACGAATATTTGCATTAGCAGCTGAGTGAGCCGATGAGGGATTATTCAGAACAGTTGCCTTCGTAGGTGATCGAACATTACTTGATTTAGATACCTATGAATATGTGGATGAGTTTTTAAAAGCATGAAAGGCAGTGAAACAAGACGGATATACTGAAAAGAAGTATGAACAAGAATATCTTGTGGGGAAAAACTAGCAAGTACTAAACTACCTATTTTGATTTTAAATCCTGGAAAGACTATGGAAGTAGTGTCATAGTGTTGTACTTTCATTTTCAGATAATATACCATCATTGTTACTGTCTGTATTATCCTGTCGTTGAGTGGGCCGAATTTGACCGGTTTCTAATGGAATATGAGCTCCTGTACGGATGTCTAGATACTGTCTGTTTGAGTTATATATTAATGATGGATGGATGCTTCATATCACTCACTAGGAGGCAGTTACATCCAGCTGACAAGTCCCCAATAGGAAGAAATGCGCATTCTGGATCCCACTGCTAGCCAACATCAGTCATTAAATATACTATTATGACGGTAAATGAACTACAATGCACTTTTAGTTTATACCTCGAAGTTGTTCATTTTCGTTACTAGTTTATTTCGTCTTCCTTCACAAAAGCATACAGCTTGAAAGGAAAAAAGGTATTTTCAAAAGTTGGTTATACGTAGATGTGATACCGATTAATAAGGAAGTCACGCAGTAAATTGTTGAACAATAAACAAACACGATGTGACAAATCCAGATAGTACTAACAGGGAAGATCAAGTTAACCATATTTCGAATGCTGCGAAGATTAAATATTACTCCATCACTCAGCCTTTTATACATGGAATGCAGAACAAATGAAACAACTACACAAAAAAAACAGACATATCGACTTCCTACAAACCCCTATGAGAAAAAATAGAGACTGACCAAAATCGAAATCGATACATTGCTCAGTGGAGAACAAATTAATAGGGAGAAGTGATTGTTCAAGTACGGTTTGGGTGCATTCACGTATTCACTAATTTCTACATCAACCTATGTCTTGAATTCATTCACTCGCCTCAGGATACAACTGTTCATTTCATTAAGTATACAAACGCAGTACTCATTAATAAATGAAGACTGCATAACGACAAAGTTATTTGAAAAATCAGCAGTTAAATGTGCTGCGTCATAAAGAGTAACAGTACAATGTTTGTAGGATAGAAGGTAGTAGGCTGGTTGTTACAGTAATTGCTTTAAAATCAACAGTCCCATGAAAGTGATGACTATATAGGGGAAAACAGTCTCAACAATCACACACAGCAGTTTCTTTTGACAAAGCCACTACTTACACAATCGTCAAGAGAATTATTTTTAAAATTCCAACTGAAATGACATAATCATAAACTGGAAAAAATACGCCTTCATACGTAATTACTCAGAAACAAATAATCAACAGCGTAAAATAAGACCAACCGAATTGGTGAGTGGTTTTTGGCTGTTCGCACTTGCATTATCAATAACCACAGAACTCGACGAATTCCCAGAATCAGATTCAAAACGTGCGAACCGAGCATCCGACAATTGTACACGTTCCAAATGCCCACTAGTTGGATGTTTGACCTTATGAAAAAACAACAAACGTAAACTATGCTCATGATTCGGTCATAACGAAAGGCATGGGGAACAATTCGATTTGTATAAAAACCTGAGTACATTGCTAATATGGATGACAAAAGATAATTGTCATGATTAAAATGAAGTTCAAAGAGAATTAGGGGTTACGAAAGATAAGTAAGTATAAGAGGATCGATGAACGCCAACTTTAAACGAGTAATAAAATTAGCTTCAGACTTAGGAAATAAAATATTTGAAACATCTTGCAACAGTTCAAAAGCTGTTCATGAGCTTGTGTCGTCACATTAAAACTTGAATATAAACTAAAGCAGATAATACGCCACAAACTTTCTTGCTAACCTAAAAGATTTCGTAAGCTGTAAAGTTGTACTTCCTTTACTCAACTGACAGCTGCTATCTTGGTGTGATGGCCAGGCCTTTCGTATCATAATGACCCAACGAGCTACGCTAGTTATAGCACTTGTTCCTTGAAGTCATATCATGTCAGAAAGGTTTGTTGGATAATGGTAAAATAACAGATGCCATTATATTACTGACAGATACGTTATGATGGGAATCCAAGAATGAAGTCGTACAATCAGTCGGAGGGGATGTGAAAGTAATAATGTATTTCCAAAGGATAACCAGCTGCATCATGTGGATGCTGCTTTCGTTATGGGAATCGGGTGTTAGAAAAGGTAAACCTCCAAAATAGCAAACTTCTCTTTACCCTCCAATATTCCAGAACCAGCAGTTCACATAACTCAAATGTGAATCCAACGATCTTAAGAAGGTCGTATGTGATAGACCTCAAGCAGATGCTGCGTGGGGTCTTAAACCATATAAAAATTGATTCCTCTCGTCCTTCAAGTATCTTTCAGTGATAAATTTTACGGTATGGACAGACAGGATGTACCGAACACCCGCTCGCTTTCAGCTGTAAACAAAGTCCAACCACCTATAGCCCTCCTTGGTAACCTTTATCTCATCTCTTACTTCCGAATTCTGATACCAATACTAAGCCTTATACAACTTCATGAACCATTCCTTACCAGAGGCTGGAAAGTCATGGATGTATGCATACATATAAGAGCTAAATATGGTTATTCCCTTGGCCTGGACAATGTGGTGGTGAATTCACGAAACTCATAGTATGAGCATCGAGTGATTCTGTGTTTAGCTCACGTAAACTCGATAGTATTTGCACAGCATTAAGTTCTCGAACAGTAAGCGCAGAGTCAATAACCGTCTGTGCACTGTTTGGCTGAATGCATCTTCAAGGACTCAAAGAAACTGTTACTACTCATCGACGCCTATTCGTAGTCTTCACATGCGCTCCCACTAACTATAATTCAGATAATGCAATGGACAAGTCCTACCAAAGATTTCAGTTTTACTTCATAAAACAAAACGTTTGGATAGTCATAACAGTAGTGAAGCTGAGCGATTCGGAAGGGCCTACGAAATGACAACAGTGATGGTCCCTTACAGTTTTCCTTCATTAATCACTTGTTTCTGAGCGGCACTAACTTCAAGCATAAGGAGAAATAATCTCACCTCGTATCCGCTAATATCAAACTAAAAGTGGACACAGATAGACGACATCACTATAAGTTATCGCTGAAGAGAATTGTGTCTGTTTCTGGAGCCCCTAGTTAAACTCCGATCGAGTAAGTACGTACATGTGTGTTCTTACACTACGCTGATAGCAAAAGCAAACAGCAGTAGAGCATTTATATGCTCAACTGGAAGATAAAAACGTCAAGTGTGAATTTAAAGAGATAGCTATGAAATTATCTGGACATGGTAGGAATTCTCTTGCTCAAAAAACCCGGTGTCGTGTTCAGTCTTCTGTTAAAAGAACGATAGATAGTCAGTAACCAAAAGCCAAACGTCAGCACAAGCCAGTGAGTTTTTACAACTTGATCCAAACCAGCTGATACGAGAATATTCATTCCAGCTGGCTATGATCACCATAAGAAGCGAAAGAAACTTAAACATAGATTGACTAAGAGTTTCAGCAATGATTGCGAGCAGTCACAAGTGGCAAAAGCAAAAAACAGATGGCATAAGTAAAAGCTGATACTCAACAGCTACTTCACCTTATTGAAGCTATTGACAAGAAAGCGTTGTTTAGTCAGACTATCGCTGAAAATGATTGCTCCGTGATAACCACAGGATAGACAGGTGGAACACTTTGGAGAAGAATTCCACTGGTCTACAGCCACGCTTCAGTCGCTCAATATTTGTTCCAAACCAAGAAGGGACGTAGATGTCAATACTCCGACTCTTCTCAAAGTTGAGACGGCTGTTTCAAACTTCAGACCCTAGGAAACAGGGAAACTCCAGTAAGAAGAATATAATTCAACGACAGGTAATTTTTGTAAGAGAGAAGTCTACTTGTGATGATCATAGAGGAATCAATTAATCTCACATTGTATCATTGAGGTCAGCGGTTATGACACTTAACTGCGGCTCAAAAAATTAGACAGACTTCACACGTGGACGAGAAATCATTCATACAATCTCCACCATTCGTCACACTATGTCCCACACAAGCATACTTACCCGCAACCGACACTCACCATATTTCGGACCTGAAAGTGGCACTCAACTCCATAAACCATGAGCTGCTGTGACAATGTCTCACTGACTGTGAAACCAGTACCCAGCAAGTATGCGACGCTAACCAAAGACCTCTCTACTCAAACTCACGCAACTCTCAACGGCTGGCTTATGGGGAGTGGTCATATGAATTGACAAAAAATAGTGGTTACTGTCAGAGAGGCACACTATCACCCTTCCTGTCCAACTTCGTTATACACGCATCAATTAACATAACACTACCCGACCGATAGCTGCTACCATGACGTGGTAGTCGGGCTTGCATATCACAATGACCAAACGATCTATCCTGGTGGAACACTTGTTCCCTCGAGGTCCTACCATGCCTGAAAAGTCTGTTGGACAGTGATCCGACGAAAAGCAGTTACGATTGTGGTGTAAATTACAACAGTGTGATGGGGGTCTGAGGGCGAAACCGTACAGCTGCTAGTTGGATGGGGTGTGACGGCAGTAAGATGTTTCCTTTGAATGACCAGCAGTCCCATGCTGATGCTGCTTTCTCAGTGGGACGGGAGATTAGAAAAGGCCGGCCTCAAAACCAACATACTCCACCACACCCCACGGTCTGCCGTTTCTTTAAACTGCTATCCACCTCCCCCATTATTACCTTCTAATATTCCTCCATGTCTCTCAATTAACAATACTACATCATCTTCAATTTCTTCTAACTCTGTAGCCTTCCATAACGATCTGAGTCCACAGAACAGCATCCCTGGTCTCTTCAAACCACGCTCCGAATTACATATTGCAGCCTTCAATGTCCGCACCCCCCCCCACCCAATTGGTCAACAGGCTTCATTGATCAAGACTCTAGCAAATCGGGCCATGGATATGTGCTGTGTTTGTGAGACCCAAGTGGGTTATTCACCTGACCTCTCCCGACCAATCTAGTGAATCCAACAAAATTCACCCTCCGAGTTTCTGGAGATTCGATAGCTAGCTCTCGTGGTCTTGCAGGTGTAGGCATAGCATTAAGCACTAGGACAGAAAACTCACTACTACACTGGATCCCGGTTGATAGTCGCCTCTGCGCTATCCGACTGAACGGCACAGTGAGAACTAAGAAAAACAGGGAAACTCACCATTGTCTCTTTGTAATCTCTGCTTACGCACCCACTGACTGCAGCTCGAATGTAATGAAGGACGAGTTCTACCGGAAACTGTCTAGCCTCCTCTCGAAAGCCAAACGTTCGGACGTGGTGGTTGTTGCAGGTGACTTCAACGCACAGGTGGGTAGACTGAGTGAGGCAGAAAGGCACTTAGTGGCACTTTCGGAATCCCAGCTGAATGTACAGATAACGGTGATCGCCTACTAAAACTGTGCTCAGATAACCGACTATTTTCAGCTAGCACTAATTTCAGACATAAAGAAAGACACTGTCTAACGTGGAGTCCACCGAGCTCAATACAGCGATGGACACATAGACCATATTGCTATTAGTCGTCGCTGGAGAGGATCGGTGTGAGACTGCCGCTCCTTCTGGAGTACATGCTTGGATAGCGACCACGCGTTGGTCCGAGTGCATATATGCCTGCGTCTCAATGGACGTAGGAAAAATCTGGCAACAAAACCACTACGAGTGCTGCTGGACAACGAAAACACCAAAGCCGCGTCCAGTGAGAGGTTGGCTATGCAGTTATCGAAACAAAAGACTGTCTCTCATCCAGAAGAAGCTTGGTGCCATCTCCAGTCTGCTGTAAAGGCAGCGTTGAAGACTGTAGCCAACTCCGAATGAGTGGCTAGAAAGAGCCAGTGGATATCATCAGCTTCTTCCGAACTAATGGATGCACGTGAAAACATCCATGCAGGCTCTGAGTACAATGAAGAGCGAGCACAACTTAAAAGTAGATTGAGAAAAAGTCTACACAACGACCACGAACAGTGGTGGGTAGCGAAGGCTAAAGAGATGGAAAAGGCGGTGGAGATTGGTAACAGTAGACAGTCATTTAGACTTACCAAGGAAACTGGGGGAAAAGGTCGACTGCGGTTAGTCAGACTATAGCGGAGAAAGACGGGTCTGCGATTCACTGGCAGAAGAGACGACTGGACCGATGGACAGAACACTTCGAGGAACAGGTTAACTGGCCTCCAGCCACCATTGCGCTGCCCACTATCCAGTCGGATCCTGAATGAGACATTGAGATAGGCCCTCCAACATCTGCAGACGTCGAGAAAGCGCTAGATAACCTGAAACGAGGAAGAGTAGCAGGACTAGATGGACTAACTCCTGAGGTATACAACGATGGTGGTAGAGTGCTCTTAGTCAGGTTAACCGAAGTATTAACTAGTGCATGGGAATCAAATATGATATCCTCTGACTGGTCTAAATCACTGATTATCCCAGTCCCGAAGAAAGACAAGAAGTCCTCTTGTGATAACCACAAAGGAATCAGCCTGACAAACATACTATCTATGATTCTGGGTTCAATGATTCTTCGACGACTGAGTGGAACTACGGAAGAGCAAGCTCGAGAAAATCAGGAAGGTAGGCTTTAGACCCGACCGTGGGTGTATCAACTGAATATTCACACTGCGCCAGGCTCTGGAACACAGACACGCTAACTGACACCCAACTATAGCTGTATTTCTCAACCTGAAGGTTCATTTTCGATTCCGTTACTCGAGAAGTCTTATGGCAATGTCTCTCACTAAAAGGCGTGTCGAGTAAGTACATCACCTTATTGAAGGCTCTCTACTCGAACACTTGTAGGCATGTTACAGCCTATGGTAAGATATCCAGGGGGCTGTATTCGTCAGGTGGTGTCCGTCAAGGGTGTTTACTCTCTCCACTCTTATTCAATTTCATCAAAGATATTTTTACGCAGGTCTCCCTCTCGTCACCTGACTATGCAAACTGACCTAATCACAGGAGAATTCTACCTAGACTTAGAATAAGCAGACGACATAGTCCTGTTAGGTGAAGACGCTGACGAGGTGCAGAATCTTGTGAACACTTTGAGTAGCAATTCGAGAATGGGATGCGGATCTCACCACCCAAATGCAAATTGTTGCTCCAGGATTGGTCTTCAACGGTGCCACGGCCAACAATAGAGTGTGTCGACCACTTCACTTACCTGGGAAGTAGGATCAGCCCTACCCTGGTGGTTCAGTGGCCGATGAAATCTCTTCAGGGATACAAAGGGCTCGAATGGCTTTTGCCAATTTACTTCACCTATGGCACCGCCATGATATCCGATTGTCTATTAAGGGTCGCATGTACTGCACAGAACTCCGGTCTATTCTTCTATATGCTTGTGAAACATGGCCACTGAAGTTGAAAGACATGAGAAGGCTTCAGGTGTTTGACCACCACTGCCTTCATAGTATAGGGCGTATTCGTGGTGTCACCACGTGAGTAACGCAGAAGTCAGATGTAGAGTTTTAGGGAGTAGAGGTAAATCAGTTGACGAGGTTATGAACTTTCATCGACTGAGATGGTTGTGACACGTACTACGCATGCCTAGTAGCCGATTGCCTCGGCATACAATGTTGGCTAAAGTAGGCCCAGGGTGGAAAAAGGCGTGAGGCGGTCAGACCAAAACATGGCACCAATGTATGAAGTCTTTGACTGTTGGTTTCAGCCATGTGGGGCGATGCAGACTAGGTGGTTGTGGTCCGGGACAAGAGAAACCAGTGGTTGGAGGCTCTAGGTGATCACATGGCTCAGAACTGATATCAGTGGCACAGATGTATACATACATTATCCTCATATTAACGATGCTATACGAATCTCACCGTCATTCATTCTTTCCTTCTCTCTTTTCGTACTTTATATTTCTTTTGACTAAATATTTTCATCTGCATCTTGCACTTCACTGCTTTTTTACTTGATTTACTGATATGAGATGTGGTAACTCGGACCGTTATGCAGTAACGGCTGATACTATGTTGATTTGGATGGATGAATAACATAACTCTATGTATCTCCAAATTCACACAGATTGATCTATTCCCTAGATGGCAGCTGGTTGACTTGCAGTACTCAAGTGAAATTGTCCTGCTACACGAAAACCTTCACAAAATCTAGGGTCTTCTCAATGACATAAACAGAAATCTGACCATCTTTGGCATGTGTTTCACTGGCACCTGTCAAATATAAGATGATGCTTCAGGACTCCTCTACATCTACTCCCAGTTTAATGACACCGAGTGAAGAGGTGGAATGCATTGACTACTTCACTTACTTGGAGAGTTGCATCAGCATAAACGGGTTGGTTGCTGACGGATACAAAAAAAGATTGTTGAGTACTTGCCAACTTGTGTCATCTCTGGAGGTGATGGATGAGATATACCACCACCTATTAAATAACGAGTATATTGCACTTCAGCCTGTTCTGTCCTGTTATACGGATGTGAGGTATGGCCTGTGAAATTAGATATGAAGTGATAACACGTTTTAGACCGCAGATTGCTTCGCAGAAATAGAGAGGTTAGGCGAAGGATATTAAGTAGGGAATTTAAGTTAGCCGATAGGGATATGAACATTCACCAACGAACATAGCTTGAAAATGTGTTGCGTACGCCGAGCTATCATTTACCTTGATGTTGAATGTAACATGAATTAAGATTGGGCTGCAAGAAGACTCATAATGACCAGACTACGATGTAGCATTAGTTGATTGTTGTTCTCAGTCGCATAAGGAGGTGTAAACATTCTGGATGGGGTCTTCGAGACAATAAAATCCCGTGGTCAGAAACCCTTGTTGACATATTTGAAAATCGATCATAATGGTGCAGATGTATTCAGTCTTTGACATCTTCGAAAGCTCGGAGATTTTCACTAGCTTACACTTTTTAATTCCTTCTCTTGACATATCTTTTGTTTTCATTGATACCCGCGTTTTCTTTATATGCCGCTATGAAGTGTAGCAACTTGGACCGATGCACTTGTTTGCGAGGTTTTACAGTGACTTTTACTGTCTGTCTGTAAATTCTGTACAATTATGACAACATAATCATTCGTGGCTTAGACAATGACAGTAAAATGTGACTATGATTATGTTACAGCAATAAATAGTATATCCTATGCACGACATCTAAAAATAATATTCGCAATAAGTGACTGAGAAACTGCAACGTTTGGAACATTAACCGTTGAAAAATATATCTCTTAAAACTACTTTGACATGAAATCTAAGAGTTAATGATTCTCGGTTGGAATGATAGTTTTATGTGACGTCATTACAGAAGTGTTCAAAGACACAACACGTACGCAAATCAATCGCTTTATGTAAAAGCAGAGGTCGCATGACAAACTAACACAAATGTAGTAAAAATCACTAACAATAAACTTCATTGAGTTTAATTTACTTCAATACATATCTTTTTGTCGCTATAGGTCATTCGATTAAACACTTACTTTCAAACTGGTGGGTCACGATATAAACACTGCACTATATTTCAAAGTTTGAATAACTAAGTAGCATAATTCACTCTCTCACAACAAATAGGGCCTATAGCTTGTTTTTTGTAGCTGAATGATTATTTATGAATAAGGAATAAATAAAGTACATGAATAAATGTTTCACAAACCTTAGTTTTGCTCTGGTTTGTGGATCCCGTTAGGGATAGATTATTTACATTCTGTCTCACTTCTACACTACGTGCAGAAGCACTAGAACAAAAGCCAGTGTTTGTTGGTGTTCGACCATTTTGCTGACTTCGACCGCATCCGTCAAGTGAACTTAATTGATCAAACGACATAATTTCAGACGAAGCTGAGTCCAACTGGTTTTTAGATTTAGCTTTTGTCGATCGGGACTAGCTGATGGTTTAGAAACTGACGGTTGAGATTTGTTTAGATTGTTTGAACGATGAGAATGCCCACTTTGATTGCCATTAGGTGAACTATCTGACATGTTCGTACAATTTTTCGCAAACACTATTTCACTAGATGTCTTGTTCAGTGAATTGAATCGCCTATATAAAGGAGTTAGGTGATATCAAATGAGCAGAAGAAATAAATCACACGACGGAAAAGACTATGTGGCATTAAAATCACTAAAAAATATTCACCACCACTGGAAAAGTGAATTTACACACAGCAATTGTAAAAAGACAAATAAAAGGATTGAACAGTTTTCCTCTTCATTTGCATTTATATAACTGGTCATAAATAGTTCACTTAGAACGATATAATTTTAGAGGGTTAAACAATCTTCGACATAACTATTACGTCTCATAGAATGCCCCAAAGTCCTTACTTGCAAGGATCTGTGAGTCCTCCCTATATATGTGTCACCACACATACTTGAATTGGTAGATCCAATGGGACGTGACACTGTCATTCATATGCTGTAAGGGTTTGGGAGAGTATACAAGCTTGGTGGTTTCTACTAGTCGGATCCTAGATGAATAATGTTTTTCTAACAGAAGTTTTAAGTCTGCTTAAGGATTGCACTATGAGAGTCACCTTTGTATGTAAGACTGGGGAAGACATCTTTCTTCGGAACAAAGTGAAGAGAAGGTTTTAGCGCTCTGGATACTTTGTGTTGGCCAATAAATGTTAATGGATAGCTATTTTCTAATAGTGTTTCAGTCAATGTTTTTCTCTCGTCTTCCAGAATACCATCTGCGCGTATTCGTTGAATTCTATTGAAGAAGCACATAACTAACGCTCGCTTGTACTGAACAAGACAAAAGCTTTTGCCAAATAGTAGTGAAATTTTAATAAGTAAACAAAACACATTTGCCCTACGGTTAATTTAATTAGATTTTTTCGCATCTACTGCAGTCAAATAAGTGCGTGATAAACACATTGATAATAGGTAGTAATAAATAATAGTAAATGATCTAAAATTGGCCTTAAATTTGAATTGTAAGTCCCTATTTAAATGACCCAGAAGCTGTCTTCCGAGCCTCAACTTTCAATGTCACATTTATAAATCTACCAAAAGAAAAAACTTACGAAGTAATGTTTACCAGACGATATCGTTTTTATAATCATACTTAAGATTAACTTATCCGGCAGCTGATAAACACAAAATCAGTTAAACTAGAAAATTCATGCACATATTATTAATAAATGCACTCAGCAACCGTTCGCACTTTGGTGCAATCGGAAATGAGCCACAACCATTATATGAGGACTGATGATACTACTACCAGTTTGCCCAGATCCTGATATGTGGAGCGGTGTTCAAACCGGTGACCCACGGATTGGAAGTAAGCTCCCGAAACCAATGAGCCACAACTCTACACAAGTATTACGTATTGTGAAAAGAGAATAAATACACCTAACGACATTCTACTGAATTTAAGTGTGAAAAGGTTTGATTACTCACCCATCACCACCATGAGATGGATTTCGATTTGCTGACGAACCAAGACAAGGCCTCTGTGTTTGTGATTCCTGACGCCGTTCACTTATAGCACAAGTTCCTGAAGTATGCAGACTACATGAATTAGGACCACAATCTTCGTCGAAACACTCATCTTTTTTGGAAGAGATTGGACCAACGTTGGAACAGTTACTTGTTGTTGTATTACCGTTCCCCAGCCCAACACCCTATGAAAGTGCGAAATACTAGAGTAAGATTAAGCTATGAAAGGCATTTGGTGCATAATAATAAATTTCTTCGAAAACAAGTTCCCAGTCTTTTTAAATGTTAGAACTGACTAGGATTTGACGCTCTTCATTACTTAATGATCAGTGAAAAGCCTATATAAATTATCAGACTGGATATTACTTAAAATTTCAGAATTAACAAAATACAGCTCTCATTTCTTTTACAAAAACAACTTATTATAATAACAGAAATCATAGAGATATCTGCTTCGTAGATTTTGCTTATGTTGTGCAAGCAGTGAGACTTTAAATCTATTAAAAGTAATCAATACTTAAGTTTCATGTCTAAGAAATACGAGAAGTGCACAGTAATACAACTCAAAAAAGCTATGATATTTCTAGATATAAAATAAACACATGATTACAAAATATGTTATTGTCTGTCACAGGTTTATGGCTATATAAAAAGAAACACGTGAAAACTCAGAATTTGGCAGAAAATAAATGGAATACAGCTTCAATGCTTAATAATTTGTAAAGCATCTGGAAAAAGAAAAGAAATAGAAAGAACACAAAATTATCATCCGAAAATACAACTTCCTACCCGAGTCATCAGAAATTGCGCTAGAGCTAATGCCTGAGCAGGTTGCATGGGAGTTTGATCCGGACTATGCGATCCAGCTAAAGCTGCAAGTTGGGCTGCTAACTGTGCCGTTTCAGCTAGTTGTTGCATAGGCGTAGTAGTCTGGTTTGAAGAAGGTGGATTCAGATTTAGGTACTGGGTTAAAATAGACCAAAAACCTGGAGACAGAAATGAGCTAGCTGTTGCAGTGAGGTCTTCCATGGTAGTTCCATTTTCAGTCTGAGGTCTGGAAGGGAATTGAAAGTTAAAGGATGGGAAAGACTGATTCAGTGAAATTAATGAGGCTAAGTTCATGAAATTTGAGACTGAAGTAACTGGTTGCTTCTGCTGGTGTAGATTACTGGAGTTGTCTAGTATAGACTTAAAATCTGCTTCCGTAGAATCACCAAGTCTTAAATTACTGATCGAACTGTTTAACAAGGATATTGGCGCACTCACTGATACTGATATGTCACTAAGACCATACAAAGGATTCTTGGGTCTCATAATGTGTAAACTCTCTTCAGTAACGTGACATGAAGATACCGATGTTCCGGTAGCATTGGTTGTAGCATTAGAAGTCTGGAAAGAAACAAGGGCGGCATTCTTTAAGCAATCAGAATTCAAGTTGTTTCATAAGCATGAATACAAAGCAAAAGCACAAAATAAATTACACTATCTAACCAAGGCAGTTTTTATTACCAGTAAACGATTGCTTCGAAGTTACAGTACTATCCTTTTTCACTTTGGAAGTCTACGCCAACACATCTACTGGGCTGTCGAGTGAAAACTCAGGCAGAAACAATATTTGACTGGAAAAAATCCTTTTACCAATTTGTTTTCTTATTCGAAGTCGTGAGTATCAAAATTGAATTACAGGCAGATCCATACATTAAAAACATTCAGAGTTAATGATGCATTATTCTCTGAGATTAAGCACCTAGTTTGTGGAAAGAATTCCAACTTTCCACTATTCACGAATTTCAAATTAGATTTGTTTATTTGACTAATAACACACAGTGATATAAGATTATTTACTTGATGACGTTTCGAGCATAAATTATCGCTCATAATCATATCAATAGAATACAACTTTCGACATTTGTTTTTTTAGTTATGTTCCCTCATATGATTTGTTTTTATCGGTGGCAAAATGTTTTTTCTATTCACGAATTTCAAGACAGATGCATTCCCGCAAGTAACATTATCCTCGGAATTTTTCATTTTCACCAATACTAACGGAGGTCCATACTTGCACTTGGAGTACGTAGATGGCGTAACCGATACGAAAAAAAATTATCGCTATTCAAAACTCCTTTCTCGTAGCCTAAAATGAAACCTCTATTTAAGTCTAATCTACATCAATATCAGTATGACAACGTGGAGTAAACGCAGTTGGTCATATCAACAATTTGGAGTCACACCTACAAAGGAAGGTTAGCAGTTAACGATGCAGATGCAAACGTATGCTCTAACTCTTGTCGACTTAACTCATCAGCTGCAGTGAAAAAAACATCCAAGTCCCTATTGAAAGCAAAGTGTACTGCGTTCTACATTACATGTACACGAAACGTGGTTTCAGAAAAGGAATATAGGAAAGTCAGAGACCTCTGATCATCATTAACTGCGTTATACCCCTCGTGTAGACAATGATGTTACACACACAGAACTGCCCAAATGAGGTAAGTCACTTGGTAAATTACTGAACCTTTATGGTCAGGAGTTAAGGTACATTGTGTAAATAGTTTATCACCTACTAGAAAACACTTGTAGCTGGCGTAAGACAGAATCAGTCTAAAGATAAAGAAAGAAAGAAAAGAATGTTTAGGGATCGTATGAAAAAAAGTGACAACCTAACAAGAGTTTTCATATAAAATACAACCAACTGTTTAACTTTCTAACCACTATCCAACATCAATACGGGGAAGAAAAAACCTGTTAACATCTTAAGAATATAGCGACCTCGCTCAAATTGACATCCGAATGGCTTATCCAACAGATGCTAAGTTAGCGGAATTCAGAAATCATGTACATGATCATCTGACACATTGTGAACCACTCTTAAGGAAATGATGAACGATAAGAAACTAACCAAAGTGAGTAATAAATGGAGTCGGAGTCTGAAGTCGCCCAGGTAACTTATTTAAACCTCGAGGAAGAAAAAGTAGGTAACATCTTAAACCAAATTGCGTCTTCACCTTAATTTATATACACATGATTAAAAAAGAAAGTCTAAGTTCAAGTTAACGCTGATTAAAAAAAGTGATATGAGAGGTCAGAAAGATATGATTTCGTTGGAAGTCATACATTCAAAGAATTCAAAGAAACAGTGTCCGTCACAATATTTTCAACAATTGCGTGTGTACGATCTCCATTTAAAGTACCGTAAGCATTGAATGACCGGGAAAAAACTTACGGGAAAATCTGAAAGCTGTTGATAAACGCGGCGCTGTGATTCAGATAACAAGATACGACTGTCATCAACTGAGTTGGCTCCGATGATTCTTGGGTTGATCATATTAACTTCCGCATGATTGTGACTGTTTGAATTACCACTTGATGTCAAATTTATAGAGGAATTATCCAAACTTTCAACAGTGAGTTTATTCGAGCCAGCAGTATTAGACAATGCCAACATTGTTAGGTTGATTCCTCCATGAATAGGAGGTATCCGTGGGCCAGGAACAAATGGAACACGTTCAAACAGTTGTGTATAGCTAGCTAGATAAGACATAGCAGAATAACCAATATTTATTTTTTGAATGCTCAGTTCGATTAAATAAGCTGTGAAATTTTCATCAGTTAGCACGCCAGTGAATACAGTCAATCTTTCAAAATACATACTGACACTCGTAAGTATAAGTCAAGAAACTAGTAAATGAGGCTTTTTAGCAAAAGACCCCACCAACTTCATATGTGGCAAATAATGAATAGCAAGAAGACAAAAAAATGAAGTCTGTCTTACCTAGAGTAGAAAATGTGTCATCGCATTTACGTCGAATACGAAGATACGGAGTGAAATAAATCCCAGCCATAAGCCATTCATTCATTTGAGCATCGCTAAAACTGCCTTGTGTCCTACCTTGAGGATCTTCATATAGCCACATATGTTCATCAGGTTGATCAGACCCATCAGGCCTGAGGAAGCCTCTTTCTTCATCTAATATATTACAAGGATTTTGAATTTTGACAGTAGACTGAAAAGTAAAATCAAATTGAAGTGAATGACAGACCACTTTTAGAGGGGTAGATATTAGAAACTATCGATTTTCTGCTAGCACTGACAAACACATACGTTAATGCGAAACAGTGAAAAAAATGCAACAGGTTAAATTTCAAGCTCTCACAGAACAATACAAAGAAATGGATACAAAAAGAATGACAATGGAGTAGACAAAAGCGTATGCGAGGAGATATACATAGACGAGAAAGAATGAATGGATAAAAATTCATAAAAATATTTAAAATTTTTTAAACATGAAAAAGAGAGTGTATATCTCCACGAATGCAACCTATTTTGAACCATATCTCATTGTCTTCAGTCACTGATTCAAAACATTTCGACTACCACAGACAATAGTCTACACTTCTAGACACGGATTAGAGCAAAAATCGGGAACTTCATGCACATGCCGTTACGATCTAACGCTATAGATAACGACGCAACGCTCCGAGACGAATGCGATTAACGATAGAACAATGACTTCTCAACCCGATATTCAGCTGACGCCAGAAGAAGATGAAACCGAGAATTTATTCACTCCAACCGAATTCTAATAAGTGAAAATTCAGTCGTTTATACATCCTTAGATGGCCTTGGTCAGAGAAAACAGAATAGCATATTCAAAGTGCAAAATGGACCGATCAGCGTCCAGCATTCTAAACTGCGGTAAAAATAAGAAACATAACGTGCCGCAAAAACGGAGCGAAAATAAGGCTAACACGTTACAGTGATAATATAAAAATATCATAAGTTAGTTATCTTAGGGATTGGCCATCCCTAACATCTCCCCCCTTGTAAGAAAAAAAATTAAGTTTTTACTTGGGATCCAGCTGGAACCGAACTGTCCGGTTTCTGCACCGATCTGACCAATGTCAGGGTAGTAGTTATTTGTTTACTGGAGGTTCTGAGGGTTCCTGGGCATCATCTGTGCGTGGTACCGCGAACGTATCCGGTAGGATTTCTAGTGAGGTGCCGTTGGGTTTTGTTTCTTCGACTAGTTGTACTCGGTATCGCAGCTGATTTTTATGTCTTACCCAAGTTTCTGTTCCCACTACGACATCATATAACACGCAGCTGCGTCTGCTGATAATTACTCCTTGAATCCATTTTTTGTCCCGGTCTGTAGTCTGTCTGGCAAATACTGGCGTTTCGATCTGCAAATACTTTTGACCTGCTGGTAACCTTTGTTGGCTGTTCTTTTGGAATCAGATCATCATGGGTCGTACGTAACTTCCTCCCCATCAGTGATCCTGATAGACTCTGGTGATCTGGGAGTGAGTCGTTTGCTGTTGTTCGGTACATAAGTAGGAAGTTTTGAAGTATATCCCCTGTGTTTTCAGTAGAGCTCTTTTGAATGTATCGATGAAACGCTCCGCTTGTCCATTGGACTGAGGGTGGTATGGTGGTGATAGAATATATTGTATGGTACGTCGACGACAGAAGTCTTTAAATTCCGTAGAGATAAACTGAGGGCTGTTGTCAGAGACGATAGTTTCTGGAAAGCCATGGCAACAGAAGATATTGGAGAGGGCTTTTAACATTTTTGTGGTATTCGGCGGATTGGTCAGTACGATTTCTGGCCATTTTGAGTAGACGTTTACCAAAATAAGGTAATGATTTCCATCAGTCGGTTCGGCAAAATCGACATGAACTTTCGACCATGGGCGTTCGGGCTCTGGCCAGGGCACGGGTGATGGTCATGGAGGATGCTTGGCGGCTTGTTCACATTCTGAACACCGGTTGACGTAGTCTCGAATTTATTAATGCATCCGTGGCCAATACACGTAGCTGAGAGTGACTGGTTTCATGCATTCGATACCAGGGTGACTCAAATGAAACTGATTTAGGATTTGGTCACGAAGAGATGTAGGGACTATGACCCGGTTTCCAAACATGAGCGAATTGTTGACAATACACAGGGAGTTTCGGCGATGATGTAGCTGTTGGAGATAACCTGTGAACGTTTCTTTCGGCCATCGGGTGAGAACAAACTGGATCGCACGCTGTAGTGTGTTGTCCTTGCGTGTAGCCATCTGGATATCGTCTGCGGTGACTGGAAGCGCTCTGATGGCTGTGGTTAAGTCAAAAGCTGCGAAATCTTTTGTTGAAACTGCTGCAATAACTTTTTCTTCGTTGGTCGTAGGATATTCGCTTATAAGATGGGACAAGGCGTCGGCTTGGCCAGACTCTTGGGTGCGTCGGGGTTGAATGTAAAAATCATATCCTAGTAACGTTAGGCCCATCGTTGTAGACAATTTGCAAAGTGAACCGGAACACCAGATTTTGAAGCAAAAACAGCCAGCAGCGGTTTATGGTCTGTAAGTAGAGTGAATTTGCGGCCATATACCAGCTTATGGAAACGATGGACGACGAAAACAATGGCCAGGGCTTCTTTCTCAAATTGACTATATTTCCGCTCTGGAACAGACAGCGTTTGAGAAGCGTGCATGATGGCCTTCTCTTTACCATCTGGGAAGACATGTAGGATTACAGCCCCAACTCCATGTGACAAGGCATCTGCGGCTACAACGATTGGCAACCGTGGGTCATAGTGGGTCAGCAAAAGGTCGGATGATAACATAGACTTCAGCTGACGAAAGGCTGCTCCACATTCTTTGGTCCACTGCCACGGAGCGTCTTTACCCAGGAGGTGATTTAACGGCGTCTTCACAGCAAGCAGTGAGGGTAAGAATGCTGAATAATACGTAACCAGTCCCAAAAATGATCGTAGGGAGGGAATATCAGTTGGTTCTGGCGTTTGCTGTATGGCGCGAATATTTTCGGGGTCTGATCGGCGACCGGAAGCATCAAAAATAAATCCCAGATATTTGACTGAATGTAGGCTGAACTGACATTTTTCGAGACGAAGACGGAACGCGTTATCTTTCACTCGTTTCAGCACCTGATCCAATCGGTTTTGTAGCTGTTCTGCGGAGGCCACAACAATGAAAATATCATCCAAATAGGCAGCTACCCCGGGTATACCGGATAATATGGTGTCTAGTATTTGTTGGAAAATTGCTGGAGCTGTTTTAATTCCAAATGGGAGGCGGTTATACGGGTATAATCCACGATGTGTGTTAATTGTTAATAATTCTCGGCCAGGTCAATTTTAGCGAAGCATATACCGCCGTTGAGGACAGTAAAAATACCCTCCGGTGCTGGAAGTGGATAGTGATGACGTTCCAGTGCTGCATTAAGTCCCGTAGAAAAATCTGCACATATGCGAATAGAGCCATTTGGCTTTCTGACAACCACATTAGGAGCCGCCCAGAGTACGAAACTGGTGTGAGAACACTTTTTTCAGACGGGAGATTCCTGCGTCGATTTGTGGTAATGATGCATAAGGCACGGGTCTTTTGGGCTGGAAAACAGGTTTGGCGTCGTCTTGAAGGCGGAGGAAAGCTTGAGATACTGTGCAACGACTGAGACTAGGTTTGAATACATTTCGAAAACGTTGGCTAATATCAGCGATTGTTAGCGGATGCTTGACCTGACTGCAAACGGCACATAGAGGCATATCCGAGAGACCAAGCTTTTCCAACCAATCGAGACCCTGGAGGTTTAAATCAGCGTCAGATAGGTAACACCCCATTTATCGAAATATCGTGGAAACATACGGTACATGATAACTGACCTGTTAGTGGTAATCGGCCACCACATGCGCTAATAGCAGTTCGTAAAGTCTTCTGGAAAAAAGGTAGGGTAATCTTCCACCATAGCTTCTTGGAAACAATCATAATATCGGAAGCTGTGTCGATTTGTAGTCGTACGGAATGGTTATTTATCTGGACGCTGATATACTTTCTTCGTGCTGGTGCATGTGCTTGAACAGTAGCAGTAAGACTAAGAGATTTGCCGACGGGTAGAGACTTCGATCTTCGACGGTGACTGGATGGTGACCTACCTGTTCTGTATGATGGGGGCTGCTTGCAAAATCTGTCCTTGTGACCCGCAGTATTACAATCTCTGCATTTATTCTGCTTATAAGGGCAAGATTTAAAGAAATGCCATACGCCACAATGCCAGCAGGGGGACGGAGGGGTCTTCGTGTTTCTTTTGGTATTGTTTGAGCTGTTAGGATGACGAAACGGAGACGAGAAACCAGGGGTCTTTTGGTCAGAAAAGGGTGCAGAGGAATTAGATGTCTGGCGAACCGCAAGCACTTCATGATCACCCTGGAGTCCGGATTGGACTAAACTTGTATCCCGTTGCAGGTTCACATATCATTGATATTCAGTGTTGACTCTTGTTCCAACCGCTTTAGCAGTCTCATTCTAATATCTGCGAACTTGAGCGATGTAAGGCTGCATATGAGTATCAACGATTCGAATTGGTCATCGGTGATGGACTTCAGAATGAATTTTTCGCATTCGCGATTAACAATACCAACATGAGTGAGGAAATCATCATTCTCGTTCATGACCAGTTTAAGACAAGGATATATGGCATTGAAAAGAGACAAATGATCACCGAAATGTTGTCTTAGGGTTTGCATCATGGATCATGAATCATGTATGAATCATCTTGACCAGCAAAATCAACGCTGAAGTGGTCTTCATATCTTCGGAACCAAGTATCGAAAGTCACATAAGCATCAGGATCATAGTGAAGTTGTGATACTGGTTGCAATTCCGTCGACTGAAGAAGCTGATATAGCAGGCGTAGGATTCGATGATTCCGGTGCAGAAATTCTGGAATGAGTTAATAACTCGGTAATATTCATATATTGTTCGAGAAATTTATCCAACTTCGAAGACTCCATCTTTGATCAAATTCCAGTCGCCACTATTACCATCTAACGCTATAGATAACGACGCAACGCTCCGAGACGAATGCGATTAACGATAGAACAATGACTTCTCAACCCGATATTCAGCTGACGCCAGAAGAAGATGAAACCGAGAATTTATTCACTCCAACCGAATTCTAATAAGTGAAAATTCAGTCGTTTATACATCCTTAGATGGCCTTGGTCAGAGAAAACAGAATAGCATATTCAAAGTGCAAAATGGACCGATCAGCGTCCAGCATTCTAAACTGCGGTAAAAATAAGAAACATAACGTGCCGCAAAAACGGAGCGAAAATAAGGCTAACACGTTACAGTGATAATATAAAAATATCATAAGTTAGTTATCTTAGGGATTGGCCAGCCTTAACACATGCCAGTTAAGCCTTGGGTTTCCTTAAAAGCGTGACATCCGTCAACAAACTTCAAAGGTACGGTATGCGTTGACTAAATACTGGACGATTATTTAGAACAGCAGTCAGTGAATGCAAAAGTCGAGAAAACTAGACTGACTTCACACGTGGACGAGAAATCATTCATACAATCTCCACCATTCGTCACACTATGTCCCACACAAGCATACTTACCCGCAACCGACACTCACCATATTTCGGACCTGAAAGTGGCACTCAACTCCATAAACCATGAGCTGCTGTGACAATGTCTCACTGACTGTGAAACCAGTACCCAGCAAGTATGCGACGCTAACCAAAGACCTCTCTACTCAAACTCACGCAAATCTCAACGGCTGGCTTATGGGGAGTGGTCAAATGAATTGACAACAAATAGTGGTTACTGTCAGAGAGGCACAGTATCACCCTTCCTGTCCAACTTCGTTATACACGCATCAATTAACATAACTCTATGTATCTCCAAATTCACACAGATTGATCTATTCCCTAGATGGCAGCTGGTTGACTTGCAGTACTCAAGTGAAATTGTCCTGCTACACGAAAACCTTCACAAAATCTAGGGTCTTCTCAATGACATAAACAGAAATCTGACCATCTTTGGCATGTGTTTCACTGGCACCTGTCAAATATAAGATGATGCTTCAGGACTCCTCTACATCTACTCCCAGTTTAATGACACCGAGTGAAGAGGTGGAATGCATTGACTACTTCACTTACTTGGAGAGTTGCATCAGCATAAACGGGTTGGTTGCTGACGGATACAAAAAAAGATTGTTGAGTACTTGCCAACTTGTGTCATCTCTGGAGGTGATGGATGAGATATACCACCACCTATTAAATAACGAGTATATTGCACTTCAGCCTGTTCTGTCCTGTTATACGGATGTGAGGTATGGCCTGTGAAATTAGATATGAAGTGATAACACGTTTTAGACCGCAGATTGCTTCGCAGAAATAGAGAGGTTAGGCGAAGGATATTAAGTAGGGAATTTAAGTTAGCCGATAGGGATATGAACATTCACCAACGAACATAGCTTGAAAATGTGTTGCGTACGCCGAGCTATCATTTACCTTGATGTTGAATGTAACATGAATTAAGATTGGGCTGCAAGAAGACTCATAATGACCAGACTACGATGTAGCATTAGTTGATTGTTGTTCTCAGTCGCATAAGGAGGTGTAAACATTCTGGATGGGGTCTTCGAGACAATAAAATCCCGTGGTCAGAGACCCTTGTTGACATACTTGAAAATCGATCATAGTGGTGCATATGTATTCAGTCTTTGACATCTAAAAACTGGACATTTTCACTAACCTTTTTCGAACTTTTTCTCTTTCCATGCACCTCTTTTTATTGAGATATTGGCCTTTTTTATCCATTTGCTCTCTGAGTGACTGTCGTAGGTTACGTTAACTTGAACCGATGCACTTTTGTGCGGAGTTCTAAGTTGATTTTTTTCCGTCTTGTGCAACACTGACAAACTTACAAAAAACGTTTTCTCACAAAGTTAGTGAAAAAGCAGTGAAACACATATACAGGCTAAATTTTGTGGGGAGACAGAAAACAAACTTTTATCATCTTCCATAGGGAATACTAGAAAGTTTGCTTGATTCTCTGTTTGGTGTATTTCTTTTCTTGACGCCAGATTAGACGACAGTTATATTTTAGTTATCTGACTCATTTCTCCAAAAAAAGATAGCCATAATTTTTCTGGCAGAGACCAATTAAAGATTTCGAGCACATTACCTGATTGCCACACAAAAATGTAAATGCTGTTATCTCCTAACGAAGAACAACGGTACAAGAGAAAAAAGTAGTCATGTTGTTATATAATGACGGAATTGATTTGTTCGCCAGTTTACAAATTTAATGAACATGGTATGTGATAAAAAACATTACATAAAACCAGAGACAACTAATAATTCAAAACTAAAATATCAGTTACTCCTCAAGATGTGATAGTTAACTAATCTACTTACTGGGGGATAGGGATTACTTAAACTTGACTGAATAATTCGGTCGAATGCAGGTAACCGTGAAAAAATATGGTGTATGTTGTCGATATCAGGAACACTAGAGCTTGTATGGCGACCGCTTCCTGTAGTCGCGACCCCACAAAGGTTCGATATGGAACTGGATACGGAGTCAACAGGATTAGGACCATGCAAGTGTTGAGGAACAGATTTAGACCAAATATGCTGTTGCATCCAGATTGTACTCGGATTCATATTAGAATCTGATATCTATGAGACAAAACAAGTAAACCAAAGTGGGATAAACTATTAGGAACCAACAAGCCTCCTTGAGGTCACAGACCAAAAGGTAGTGGGAAATATATGACCATCAATTATTAATCAAACTAGTTCCAAAGATCCATGAAGCCGTTATTTCTGAAATGAGGACAAACGTCGGAGTGCATTTAGTAAGCAAGGACAACTTTTAATTCTTTAGAAGCATCATATAAAAAACTTTTGAAAAATCTCCACTGATTGCAGCAGCGAGTTGCTATCATGAAACTTATGAGTACTTTTGTAAATAACGATAAGAATAATCACTTTATTCCAAACAATTTTTTTAGTGCATATGAAAACTCAAACGTACACACAATTCTAACATTGTGCCAGTTCACCCAGAAAGTAATTTTATTCACATCCATCCAATATAAGCAATTTGAATGTGTTGTACACTTACCTTGTCTGGATCCTTGATCCCGTAATAAGCACTAACAGCCCGCTTACTTTGATTATATGAATCAGCATTATTGTTCCGAAATGAATCTGATTGGGGAACTGGAACACCATCATTAAGCGGACTAGAGGTCACGTTTAGTGTAGCATTGCTTAAAACCGATGAATTTCCAGGAAAAACAGGAGTGGCTGCATAGGGTATTTCCGAAGATCCTACACTCTGTGAAGAGATAGAATGCATTGGTGTACTCAGATGAAATGAATCTAGGGTTTTGCCGACCTGAAAAGGAAAACTAAATAAGTTTAGGGAAATACAAAAGAATGCATATCGGCTAAACAAGATCTTACTTTTTTATTACGAATATACTTGTGATGAATATTTACGCATAATGATTTTGGTAATATTCCGAACAAAACTGAATAACATCACTGTAAATATTTATTTCAAACATACTAATAAAGTCAGTCTCCGAAATTCATAAGTTTTTCATGGATATAATCATGATCTCACCTCTGAATTCAAAACTTAGCAAAAACCAATCGAAATACGCGGAAAACTATTTGATGAAGTACTCAGAATGAAGAAATCAACACTATCACCTGAAGTATTCGCAAATCTAAACCCGAGATCAAAACACGCACTGTTTAGTTATATAGCTACAGGCAATACCACCAAACTCTTCAAAATTAGGAACAGCTTAACCACAATTTTAGGAATCTATTGTTACTTGACAATGGATTACATGATACGATGTCTCGATTAGTAACCAGTAAAAAATATCACATACTGACAACTATTGAGTGTAACAGCAAACGGATGATCAATTTTTATCTTACCGTCGATGAAATCCAGTAATACAACCCTTCAATTCACGTAAAAACAATATGAAGCACAACAGAAACACACAATGGCAATCTTTTTGCGTTAAAATGAAGCAATGATAACAAAAATTTATAAATGAGGTCTCCTAGAGACAGCAAACCCGATACGATAGTTTCATTCGAGGACCAACTTATGTTAATCTTAGTCTTAAAAACCAAAATCGCACACTACCATCGACACATCAGGAAAACGTCTAAAAAAATTACGTTCAACAAGCAATGCCATAATTGTTTTCACATCGATTATCTATCTATCAGCACATAGTAAAAAATCTGCTTACATCACAATCCAAATTTTTACTGTAATATCTTTAGACTTCAGTAAGTATAGCAAATGTGTGGTTTTAAAGTAAAACGACCGGCTTATACAATATAGGTGTTTTGAAAAAGAAAAGGACTTCAGCAAGATCATAGAAATTAAGACAATAAACTTTCACCTCCGTTAAGTTCTTCAAGAGAAAATTGATGTCATCCACCCTCATCTGAGTGATATTTAGAGCATTCATACAATATGATTCACGTTCAGAGAGTGGATTTAGTCACGTAGAACATGAACCTGTGCGTGTGTGCTAAGTTGAATTATTGTCGTTATTAGTGGGATTTAAGTTACCTATCAATAAAATAGGTTTTACAGGTAGCTGCCGTTTAAATGACAACAAACTGTAAAAACAGGTATCACTATAAAAACATTTGTAGAAAAGCGGCTTGAGAAACCTACCAACATGACGTCTCCTGAAGTTGAGCAAAGTTGCCAACATGGCTCAGGTGCAGGAATAAGAGACTTTTGATCCCACTGTAAGGTATGCTTGTTGACATCATCACAAGGACCTGAAGAATTAATGACTTCGTTTGTATTGCATTTTCGAGAGTATATTGAATTAGATGGGACACAATTTGAATATTGTTTAGACGGCTCTCCAGAAGAAAGTCCCTGACTAAAAACCAGCAAAAACATATATATATATATATATATATATATATATATATATATATATATATATATATATATATATAATTTGGAAATAAGCCAGATTACTTGACAAAAGTTTCGATGTATGTTATACACTTAAATCCCTTATCAAACTATCAGATGGCCATATAAGAAAATGACTTCAGTTGGTAACTAAATGTACACTTAGTCCTTTTTGATCACCAACAACTTTCTACATTTTTACTTCGAAATCTTTCTTCACACTTTGCGGTCAACATGCCTACACCAATCATATATTCTTTTGGCTCTGTAGGCCATGGAAATGATTCGAACCAAATCGAACTGCTCTCAGAAACCTTGTGCACATTCGTACAGCAGGCAATGACCCCAACCTATTGTGTGACAGCTTACGATACTACCTGACTGCCCACACTTGGATAGGTGGGGTGTTGTTTGAATCCCTGACCGATCGGTTGAAAGTCAACTGCTAAACCGGTGAGCCACAGCTCCAAAGATTCAAATTCACGAAAGAGAATCACTAGTCTCTTGAAGCCCTTAATGTTCACGATCTCCGTCTAGTTGGACAAAAAGCTTCTCGAACCAAAACTCTGCCATTTCAGGCCATGAACATATGCTGTGTTAGTGAGGCACACACAGAGATCCTGCATCTAACTATTCAACCAAACTCACCAAGTCAACGTGAACCTGTGAAATTCCATCTTCGATTATCGGAGACGATTTTGAAAGAGTAAGTAGAGGGTTAAGTCCTAAGTCAGGAATTGCATTGCTCTACTGGATCCAAGTTGATAATCATCAGCACATAGTTCGCCTGGGGAGTTGTCTCATTGGTTTACGGAGTTGACTTCTAACCAATAGGTCGTTGGTTCCATTACCGCCCCACCTACTAAATTTCGTGCAGCCAAGTAGTATCATTACACCTCACACAATAGGAGTGGCTCACTGCCTGCTGCACGAATATGCACAAGGTTGTTGATCGGATTTTGATTCGAGTTCGCCTGAATGGTGCAGGAAGGATTAAAAAGCATAGTGGAGTTCGTCTTTTTCTTTATCACTGCGTATGCACTCACTTACTGCAGTTGAGACGAAGTGAAAGATAAATTCTACCGAAAACCAAATGACAGCCGAACGTTTGGATGTGACTGTCATAGCTAGTGACTTCAATACGAAAATGAGAAAACTGTTACTTGAAACACCATTGGGTGGTTACTTTCAGAATTCTATCCGAACAAATACTACAGTTGCAGTAAGATAACCATCAGTTTCTTGTCAGAACACATCTCAGATAAAAAGAGAGACATTTCACATGGCATAAACAGTGAGCATTAGAGATGCGAAAGGAAGAAGTGATAGATGACAGTACGCAGTTATCTAGCCAGATCCAGAAAACCAGGCTGAGAAAGTCAATGGTTAATGGTCCGTCCAATAGCTGCTACCTAGACGTGGTGGTCGAGTTCGTAGATTACGATGATCTAACGAGCTATGCTGGTGAAACGTTTCTCCCTTTGAGGTCCTATCGTAAAAGAAGGGTTTGGTGGATAGCAGTTAAGCAAAAAGTAGTGACCCTTAACATGTTCTTAAACAATGAGATAATGTATTGTGGTGGCTTAGATCAGTCATCAGTGGTTAGTGGTAATCCAAAACCACAGGACATATGTCCAAATACGTCTCCCATACTACAAGCCAGTTGTAGTGGCACCAAAAAGGCCATATGTGATCTGCCTTAAGCGGATGTCTCCTGGGCTCTGCAGTCACATGAATCTTTTCTCTTTCAGGTACCTTAGGAAGAAACAGCTTTCCACGGTGTGGGCAGCCGGGAAGTGCCAACCGTCTGCAGGCTTGCAGTAATACACAAGATCAAATCAAGCATAACATCCTCCACAAAATTGTCGCCTCCTTCGCCTTCCCCTCCTGATACTAATATTAAATCTCTTACGCCTAACTAAAACTCTCACTCTGAAATCATTGTCGACGGCACCTCATTCCTAGTCCCTTAAGAACTCGCTATCGATCTTATGGTGGAGTTTTCAACGTCCAAACTCTATACCAAATCTGGTAACAAGCATCGCTGGTCAGCGCTCTGCAATCTCTAGATATGGATGTACGCTGTCTCTGAGATACGTATACAGGAGCCAATAACGGTCGTTAAACTAACCTCACTAGGCCTTAGTAGTGAATCTCCAAAACACCTAAAGTGATGCCTATTCGTAATCTCCACCTACTCACCCACCAAATGTAGTTCGGATGATGCAAAGGATAAATTCTATGGAAGGCCGTTAATTTCGCGACAGAAAGCAAAACACCCAGATGCAGTAATAATGGGATGTGACTTTAACGCTGAAGTAGGGAAGCTGAGTCAATAAGGGAGGCATCTCGGAAGCATTTACGGAATCCGGTGGGAACGAACCGACAACGGTGATCGTTTGCTGTAATTCCGCTTCAACACCCACTTGTTTTTGACCAGGACTAACTTTAGGCATAAACAGAGACACTGCCTTACATGGCGTTCGCCAACATCAAACCAACGATGGACACATAGATCACATTGCTACAGCCCATCGTTGGAGGGGGTCCCTGGATGACTGTCACTCTTTTTGGAGTAATTGTTTGGACTCCGACCACGCGCTAGTACAGGTTTGTGTATGTCTGCGCCTTACTGATAGATAGCAGGAAACCCCAGGTAGTGAAGCCTGTCTATGGTCGATTAGAAGATAAGAACGTCAAGTATGCATTTAAGGAAGAAACAGCTAAGAATTTATCTAAACTTGACATCAATGCTCAGCCTGAGAAAACCTGAAGTGACATTAAATCTGCTGTAGAAACGATGGTAAAGACAACCGGTCATCATCACCTATCAACATAGGACCAGACATTACTGCGTGACGGTCCGAGTTGCCACACCTCATATCAGTACATCAAACAAAAAAGCAGTGAAGTGCAAAATGAAGATAAGAAAACTCAGTCAAAAGAAATATAAAGTACGAAAAGAGAGGAAGGAAGAATGAGAAGATGGTGAGATTCGGTGTAGCGTCGTTAACATGGGGATAATGTGTATATACATCTGCGCCACTGACATCAGTTCTGAGCCATGTGATCACCTAGAGTCTCAAACCACTGGTTTCTCTTGTCCTGAGGACCACAACCAGCTAGTCTACATCGCCCCACATAGCTTAAACCAACAGTCAAAGACTTCATACATTGGTGCCATGTTTTGGTCTGACCGCCTCGCGCCCTTTTCCAGCCTGAATCTACATTGCTCAACATTGTGTGATGGGGCAATCAGGGACTAGGCATAAGTAACATGTATCCCAACCATCTCAGTCGATGAAGGTCCACACTTGAAGATTAAGAAACCTCATTGGATTTCCGCGACGTCACCCGAACTGATTAGTGAGAGAAGGCTGGTTTCATCTGGCTCTGACCAAGATGAAGAACAAAAACAGTTCAAACGTAAATCTGTATCAATTGAGAGGAGTAGGGTGGGGAGGAATGAAAGCGAGAGAGATGGAGATATCAGCGTTGGGTAACACTCCACAACTATTGAAGTTTATGAAGGAGATCAACAAGATGATGGTAAGTGAAATCATCACCGAAAAGGATGGGATGCTGATATCTCAGAACAGACGGCTGGAACGTCGAGAACATTCGGATGCAGTTCAACTGGCCCTCAGCAACGCTTCAGTTGCTCAGCATCTAGCCAGAATCTGAAGAGGACGTAGATGTCAGCCTTCCAACCATCCTTGAAGTTGAGAAAGTTGTATAGAACCTGAAATAATGCAAATCACTTGGATCTAAGTTTGCCACCTAAAGCTTTCAAGGATAGGGGTTGGAAATCGCCGATTAGAGTGACGGAGGTAATTGATAATGTATGAGCATCAGAGGTAGTTCCGTCAGACTGGTATACTTCACTAATCATCCCAGCCTGTAAGAAAGGGGAGAAATCTTGTGGCAATCATAAGAGAATTAGTTTGTGTTTAAGATCCTACGGTCCATAGTTATGCGAAGCCTAAATGGAGCTCGGGAACAGCAAACTTGAGAAAACCAGATTTGCTTCAGACCTGGTTGAGGATGCATCGATTATAATTTCGACCTCCAACAAATTGTGAAACACGGGCATACCTACCGTCAACGGACACTTACCATATTTCTTAACCTGAAGGCGGCAATTGACTCTGTCGATCATGTGTTAGGGCTGTATCTGATTGTGAAGGGAGTTCCGAGCAAGTACATAAGGCTTATCAAAGCTATCCACTCGAACCCATGCATCCACGTCAGGGGTTATGGAGAGTTGTCAAGTGACTTGACAACTAGTGGTGTCCCGTAGGGATGCCCACTGTCATCGTTCTTATTTGACTTTGTTATAGGCATACTAATTCACTTGACCCCATGTACATCCGACTTCACGGGGATTAGTCTACTCCCTGGAGGCCGTACGGTTGACCTGGAATATGTAGATCCCATTGTCTTGCTGGATAAAGACGCTGACCAAACGCAGGGTCTTCTGAACGCCTTGAGCAGAAGTCTGAGCATTTTCGGCATGCGTTTTACTGGCACCTGTCAAATGTAAGATGATGCTACAGAACTGGTCTGCTGCAAGTACTCCCAGCTTAATGATGGGGAATGAAGTGGTGGAATGTGTTAGTCGCTTCACTCGCCTGGGGAGTAGCATCAGCCAGAATAGGCTGGTTGCGGACGAAATCTCAACTGGGATACAGAAGGCCAGTTCACCATTTACCAAACTTACGTCACTTGTGGTGCCGGTGGGATATCTGACTATCTATCAAAAGACGAGTACACTGAGATGTAGTCTATTCTGTCCTGTTATACGGCTGTGAGACATGGAATGGAACATCGGGATTAGACTTACAACTCTTTCAGAAATTGAGGAAACTGTAAGTAACCTGACAGAAAGGGCGGTAGGTATTTAAAGACAGTTGTCAACGACTACTGGCTAGACTGACTGCCTAATAGGGATAAATAATGAGC